AAAAAAAATCGATCAAAACCGGAAACCGCATGTAAAACTGTAAAAACAGATACATTTTCACATCCCATTTAATTAAATCCCTGATCGATCCGAAACAGTGGTGACAAGTGGAGCATATAGAGTAAACTACACTAATTTCATGACAGGATTTATGAATACCATGGACCTGGCATTCGTATCTTCTAGTATCTGCTTAAATTAACAGCTGCCACTCAAGGAACTCGAGCGTGGTCTCTGCGGACTCAGCATCTGATAATGGAGCCTAGTTAAATTAAGGAAATTCGCACAAAAGTGCTCGACAGTATTGCAATTTTGCAGTCGCAAAAAGCCATAGCTCTGGAAAGTTTTATCGAAAATCCCTAATGTAACATTTCCATTTGCGAACTAAGACCTGAAAGTTTGGAGATTCTACTGGAATGTTGAGTCAATCAGTCACCGGGCCAGTGAACAGCACAAATGTAAGTATTCCTCGTGACATTCTTTTCGGTGAAGCGAGTAAGCCCCTATCTATCTCTTGCACTGTTCATTGTCTTGCGACGGTTTGCGGAATGGAATGAAGACTTTCTTCCCCGATTCCAGCAGCTCTAAGAGCGATTTGGCCAATTGTGAGAATACTTCGAGTCAGATTTGCACTCACCCCAATAGCAATGCTTAGTTGCAACCATTCTTTGCCTTTTGGGAAAGTACATACTCCGACACTCTCTAACCGTCTTACTGTTTAAGTTCACCACTCATATTGTCTACTTAAAGCTTTCTTCGCTTAACCCCAGGAAAGCCTCTGGCCTGGACTGTAATCCCAGTATGGTTATTGAAAGATAACAGCGACCTTTTGGTGGGTCGCTGGCATTCTAACTTGCTCATAGACAGACAGACATGCTAACTTGCCCATAGACGTCCCTCCTCAAAGGGAGGGACAGCGATGTAGTGCCCATCCCTATAAACCAAAGCCGGAGAAGAACGTCAACAAAGGCTAACGCCCCATATCATTACCACCTGTTCCACCATAGAGCACGTGCAACCAGGTATGTTGAAGAAGACTGGTGATAACCAATTTGGGTCCATCCCCAAGTTCTCTACCGCGCATGCTTTACTAAGCAAGGTCAGGAGCCCATTGGCTCCCGGCTAGGTTCCTTTTTAGACCAAGCACACGGACGGAACTAGCACTACCATCAGGGTTGAAAAGGTAATCGCCCTGGATTTCCCATATGGTATTTTATACTGGATCATCAATTTCTTAAATATCGCAAACAAAGAGTCAAACAAGACGGCAAGTGGGAATGGGTAGAAGTGTACTGTGACAATTATCTTCCTGCTTGTCTATCGAGAGGCATCAGGGCTCAAGCAACTGAAGAGTGCAAACGTAGCTACTAACTAAGGAACTGATTAAAGAACTCATAACCTCTTAGATGCATGCATCTATGTGAATAGAGTGCGCTTCTCCGGTTTTTCACAATTCACACCCAATTGAAAGCTACCTGTAAGACGAACTGGAAGGCATGCAGAAGCGCGCTGTGAGAATCATCGTCCTGCATGTCACCTATTGAGAGGCTAGATAATTTAGAGACACCTTTTAAACACAGACAGACTCAAATTGTCAAAATGTTTCAGGACATAAGTAACAATCTCGACCACGGACTAAACTGATTTTTTTCAAGAACCAAATAAAGATAGTTTTTATCTAAGAAATAGTCGTAGATATCACATCCCTATTTATAAAACGAACAGACTTAAGAACAGACTCAGTTGCTATTTCCAGAGTGGAAAAAAACTCGTACCATCTGCCTAAGAAGTTAAAAGTAAACATACAAATTTGAAGATCACGGCTATTAATCTTTTTGTTACCAGCTGTGAAAAGCAAATTGTCGTATTCTGCTCAGTTTCTTTTCAAAGGTAACATCTTTCATAGTCATTCCTTTGGCTTTTCATACCTTACTTGACCGATAAATATCTTTCTCGTCGGAAAAAAGGTAAGCTTTTAAGCGGCTTTTTTCTCATGTATTGTATATTAAACAGATGATCAAAACATTGTATTCAAATATGATCACACTTTTTTAGCTTTGAATTTCTTGGACAAGAGTCTTGTATTCATGTACCAACTTCCTCTTGTGTCTTATGAGAAGCGCTGCACCCAGCGCGCTCAGTGCTAATAATACAGTCGCAGTGGCAATAACGAGTGCAGATGGACCTGAGAAAAACGATAACGAAAAGATTCAGTCATGTAAATATTTTTCTTCAAAGCCTTTTACCTGCTTCTTTGTTTGTTTGTTTTTTTTTGTTTATCTGATTTCTCCCCAAAGAATTTATTCCTTTAACCCATTATAAAGCTCAGTATTTTTGTTTTGTTTCTGATGACGCAAACGAATACAATAGAATTTAGGTGCAATACAAACAAAGCTATTACTGAGATCATTTTTAAATATCTCACCATTTCTAATAGTGTTAGTCGCCATTTCATCTTTGAGTTCTTCCTTTCTTAACGTGATAGGGCCCTGGGCAAGAGGATAAACGTCATCGACGCTCTCCGGCACAACATTGACGTCACGTTTCCTTCGATCTTCACAGATGCGTACGCACTTGGATTCTGGATCCGAATGGTTACAAACCCTTATATGGCAATGCACAAAGACGAATGGATGCTCTCCGATGAATTTGAAACTTTCCAAACTAAAGCGCTCAGATCTCTCATTGGCCGGGTGATATTCGAGTGTCTCATCCACTTTGCAGCTGTTATGAGTGAAAAAAAGAAAAGGTGTGAGACAGTAATTATTATCATAAAAGTGAATAAAAGATGAAATCAAATTGGAGACGAAACAAAATAAGAAAAATAACTGAACCCAATTTGACTGAAAATTCTCCTTAGTCATGTAGGTTTACTGAAAATTTAGTTTGTTTGGTCTAGTAAGAAGCGAAGCAATATTTAGTATGCATTGTTATGATATATATAGGTTAGACACAGAACAAATAAGATCTTAAATCTTACGTATTTGAAGGATTCAAGTGTGTTCATTTCCTACGCTCCCTTCTAATCTTTTCATAACGACATAAACCACCTTGAAACTTATATCCATGTGTTATATTATTTTTGCAAGGAGAATTATGTAAAAATTATTTAATAAGCTGGACGCTTTCAAGTTACCCATTCTTGATGATCCAATATTTGGGTGAGCTGTTAATGTCGGGACTGGGCGTTGCAAAACATTCCCTGGCGAGGATGGTCAGCCTGTGGTCAATGGTGTCAACAGATGCCTCAAAGAATATTTTTTGGCGCAGTCTTAATGAAATGGGGTAGTCGTCTTGAGTATATGGGCCAACAAACCTGAAATGATATTGAAAAGCTAAATCAGCATAATTTCAAATGCTAAGTTTGTTTTGCAGCTGTTTAAATACCATTCTCCTCTTAAAACTGAGTGTAACTGGTTCGAAATAGATTGGCATTTGCTTACTTACTGGCTAGAAGATGGCATGAATATATTAAATGACGATAAATTAAGGTTTACTACAATGCAGTATATAACTTATCAGCTAGAAAATAATGAGATGGAGGTAAGCAATCTCCTGAACGACGTTATTGTCCAGATTTAATTCTCAGTCTTCTTTCGGTGCTTAGCTTAAACTAACACAGTACTAATTTACAGCCGACTTTATGTTAGAGGTGAAATCAAACCTATGAATTCTGAGACAAGTTCGAATTGCACAAAGAAAGTGACCTCAAAAAGCTCCCTTTCGCTCGTTTGTTAGCCAGGCGATACATGACAAAGATTCTACCTACAGCTAGGATCAGTGGCAATATCGAAAGTATCGTGTTTTATTACATTTTTTCCATTTAAACTGCCGAAATATTTTCTAGGGAAACTCAGTAGGAGAGGCCTTTTGCGAATAAAAAAACTGAGAAATTTTGTTTGAAATGTGTTAAGTAATTTTCCCAAATCAATATTCCGAAGAATGAGAGCGCCTGGTTTATTTTTCCTAATGAAGCCGGCTTAACCACACAAACCATTTTGCTTTGGAATACTGTAACCTGGGAGTGCACTCCCTGAGATCGTGTGATGTCTGTATTATCTCATTCAAACCTGAGGTCTGGGAAGAGTTCTAGCCTCATGGTGAATTTGCCGAAGCCTTTTTCGGAGAAAATAACTTTCTCGCTTCGTGGCATGAGTCCAACTCCTGACACCAGTCCCTCATTGTCGTAATAACAATGAAACGGAATCTGGAAATCGGGCACGTGAGAGACAATATCCTCTGCTACAGGCGGGACAGGCAGAGCTTCGTTGCTGTAAATAACTGACGAGTTTGTGTGCCTGCTCTTTGTTCCGCAACCGGTCAGCGGAACGTCAAGGATAAAGTGAGTTAAATTGTCGGTTGCCCCGCAATTCACGTCCAGGGCTCTGATATGCTCACGGTCTGTGCCACGGAGCACGGACTTGGGAATAGCAATGAGCATGTCATTCTGTAAGCACTCAACAGAGACTTCATCATCTGAAAAGGAAGTGTCATAGTGTCACACTATTCAGAAGTTTTGCTAAGCAATCTTTCTGCACAAGGAATAATACCATATTTCGAAGAAGTTCCCTCGGAAAAAATGATTCAGATGTACTTCCTTTTCTCTTGATAACTCATTAGTCACATAACTGTTAAAAATGAACCAAAAAGTCAATCATTTGCAAAAGAATCCCAGCCTTACCCCAGAGAACTAACCTTTATTATCATCTGAATAATGGAGAGAAGAATCATCTTCTGTTGAAGTTAAAATAAAGCTAGTAAAGCTGAGCATTTGTACTAATCCATCCATTTAATTAAGGATCCATGATGGAGGATTCATTAGTGAACTAGTCATTTTCCCAATATATACTATTAATATTACTAAATGACTCTTTCAGGTAAATTGAAATTGAAGTAAATGCAGATAATAAGAATGAAAAAAAATCAAGTTACTACAAGGTTCGAAGGTCCTCGAAGTCTGAATGTTCATTCCTCTTTTTCGGCATTTTCTCAGACAATTTCAGTTCACTTGAGGATCATTTCGTTATTTTTTATCACCCACCGGTCAAAATATGAATTATTTAATATATGTGCGATGAACTCCTGTTTGAATATGACATACAGATGAATGATAATTCAGAGACACAGTGAATCTAGTAGAGCTTTCGGACAACATTGACAGCAACACAACAGATGTATAGAACAGGGTTAATGTGATGCGACGAAAACATAATAACATGATGTTTGAATATCAGGAGCAAGGATTACTTTTCCGGCTCGTTAAGTGAAAAAACTTGATCATTGATAATCACAGTGGCTGTTGAGTTAAGCTTCATTGGGCAGTTGCCATTGCAACTGATTAAAAAGTGAGAAATGAATAAAGTTTCTCGCCTTATAAGTGCTGATTAAAACTATTTACCAACACTTCAAATTACGTTTAGAATTAAGCTCTCCTCCACACCAGCCACACTCACTCTCAGTAAAATTGAGTGTCACAAGTTTATCAAGAATCATAAATGTTTGTACAAGTTATGGCCAGAAGCACAGGAGAAAGAGCATTGATATTCCAGCTAGTTATATACCAACTCGTCTATCGAGGAAAGAGTGAAAAAATTATCGTATCTAATTTTCAAAACTGCCTTCAATCTGTAAGGGAAATCGTTCGTACCTGTCATAAGGGAGTCTCGTGAAGTTTCTTCACTTATTTCATTCCCCGTCTTTCCTCCGCGCATGGCTTGCTGTGGTTTATCATAAGAAGAGATTCCTTGGCGACATCTCACTGGCGCGAAGCAAACTTGTAGTAGCACTAGTATGACTAGTTTGTTGTACATTTTCAGGACCAAAAGTCAAACTCACCTCATCTCTTTGCTGGGAATGTATTTTTTTGGCGACGAGATTAGATTTTCCGCTTTGAAGTTAAATTATTTTAATTGTGGACAAAGGGAAACTTTGTTTATTGATCTCTTTTATTATCTTGGAATTATTTACATAATGTGAACGCGGAAAATGTTGGTCTTCGGACCATGACATTACGTGGATGAAGTGTAATGTGTTCGATTCAAAGATACTTCAACCTTTTGATCATAATGAGTGACTAGAACCTAATTTCTCCTTACAATGCAACCCCTGCATCACACATTAAGGTCTCGAGAATAAAGGAAATGAACACCAAATGAAGGAGTTCTCGACAGAGAGGAAATGCATAGAGAACAGTGTGGAAAGTATGCTTACCGATGTTTAGGGGTAACGATCAACTCACTCGGCGTTTCTCAGCACAACAAATAAACGGCAATGACACAGAAACAAACTCTGGCTATTAACACGTTCCACTTAGAAACCATCGCGTTGTTCGTCGACTGATTACCTTCAATACCTATTGCTTAATTATTTTTTCACTTAAGTATATTACGATGTTCATGCACTTATTTCATAGATTGCATCAGGACATCGAATTGTAAGGGACGATCATGTGCGGGCTTTTCTTCATTCTTGTCGCGTCTGTGTCCTCTGTTATTGACGTTGTTATTCATGGCTTTAGTCTTGTTTCAATGGTCCTGTCAGTAGATTCAACAGGACACGATGGAAAACGACGATACAAAAGAAACCTGGGGGGAAAAAAAGAAAGAATAAGAGAATTAAGAGTCAGAAATTGTAGTGATGTCTCTTTATGAGACGACGACATCAATACGGGGTGAAGGCAATATTTTTATGATGGTCATTTTTTTTCATTCATCATCAGGTTTAATATACCAGGGATTAAATTTTCAAAGGAATGTTGCAAAGAAATCAGAATCTTCAGCAATTACTAGAAAATTGAAGCAACATCTTATCTCGTTTTGGAGAAACAATTGAAAAAGATTCCCCCTCCACCAAAATGATAAAGAAAGTTGTTTGCAGTGCAAAGGAGCTGTCGAAAGAATTTTCATGTGAAAGACAAAGAAACAAACATAAAAAATATACATTATCCAATTCCCCCTTCCTCCTATGACCCCTAAGATTGACCGGCATCTAATTTCTCCTTACAATATCACCCCTGAATCACACATTAAAGCTATGAGAGTAAAGGAAACGATCACCCACTGTAAAAACTCTTGATTGTTAAACAAATTCTCAATTCTTCTCAGCACCTTTGGAAATGTATAAAGAACAGCCTGAGTAGGAAGAATTTGGATATTGATGTGAGGGTACAAAGGGTTAAGAAGCAGAGAGGACAATTTGATGGGACGTCAGGATTTGAAACCCAGCGCAGCTAACCACTTGGAGCCAAGGTCGAAAATAGGCTGCTTTTACTGCCCAATGTTACCTGTTTTTCCAACAATGATTATCTTCAGGTTCAAAATTGTCTTCTGTGTCCTTACCACGGATTGCACCAGTTGACACTAAACCGTGTCTAGAATAATGGCAGCTGAAAGAAATCTGAATTTCTGGAGCCCGTGTTATGATCACTGTCTCAGAGTAAACTTGTCGAACCTTATTGCTGTATATTACACTGCTGTCAGTGTGTCTATTAAATGTGCCGCATCCAATCAGAGATGTCGTAAGAACAAAGTGTGTGGCATTTTCTGTTGCTGTGCAGTTAGAGTCCAGCAGGCGGAGGTCCTCTCGGGCAACTGTGGCAAGCAAGGCCTTGGGAAGAGATATCGACATTTCCTTTGGACGACATATCACAACAGCTCCACAGGCTGAAAAAAATATGTAAATTAGGAATTATAGGATACTATTCCTAAAATTTAATTGCAAGGGGATTGCAATGTCAATAGTAAAGGGGCTGAAAGGCTGTTACAGACAGCAGTAACTCATAATAGCTAACCTACTGTTGTAATATTTTTTCAATTTATGCGAACATCAGTACTTGGGAAAAAATAATTCTGAGTGTCCCAACAGATGTCAAATCGACGAAATTCCGCTCAGAGTCGGCTTACTGCTTCGGATGTTCTTTTCCACTGATTTATGTGAGTCTCTTGGTTAATGCAGCTATGTCCGTTACATCATGTTTTATTTACCGGAAAACATTCTCTAGACTCATAAGCAAATTGCATGTCCATGTGAAGCTGTTGAACATCCTTGATATGTGGATGGTAGGTTTAAAATTCAAGTGACTTAATTCAAAGGTGAAATGTTTGCAGCGGAAGATGATCTAAAGTGCAAATATAATCCTTTGTTGATGTAGCATCGGTAAAGGGAATTCTGTATTCTGATCGAGTTTGGGTTACTTTTATATCAGTAACCATGATACAGATATTATGTTTAACTACTATGCAGTAATTCCTGTCGATCGGATATATCACAAGCAATTTGTTAACGAGGTGGCATACCTTTCGAGTTAAACTTCTTGTGATCAATATCCACTCTCGTATGGTAATCATCAGTTGAATGTATCGTGCATTTGTCTTCGAGATACTCAGGGTCACTGTAAACCTTTTGAAAAGAGTTGTCGATGCCAACAACAACGATGGAGAATAAGGCGAGAACCAGCCGCATTTTAACGACTGAAAGGTTTGATATACTCAGCAATCGCTATGATTGCCGAAAGGTTCATTTTAATATAATTCTGGTGCTCATAATGTATGCATGGTAAAATAATGAAACGCCTCAGCGCTTTTCTAGTTGTCGCCAGAGTTATGCATAATTAATTACCCTCTGTTTTGAGGGAAGACTAAGTTGACCATATTAAAAAATACTCAAGAAAGAAAAAAATGACGAACTGAAGGCGTAGCCTTTCTTTTGAACTTTCGAGAAGGGAACGACTGATTAAAAGTTAGTTCGTGTGACACTCTTGAGATTATTTTCAAATCTTTGCTTCTTTGGCACGGATTGTTGCCACGAAACACTCCACATAAGATGACACAACCAAAAATATATCACAGCGTTGGTCGTGAAGACATGTCACAACGGGTTTTCACCGAGAATGTTCCGACCGGTTCTGTCGCTTATTAAGACACTCCCAGGGCGCCCTCAAAGTTTAATTTTTAAACAAAGTGCTGGAGTGATTCTTCGCGCGAGCTGATTCAATCTTCGAGAAAAACGAAGGTGATGAGAACGTAAAAAGATTAATAAGACGTTCAAAAGTGACAGACTGAAAATATATCTTATTTATGTCGTTTTATCCTCTAAAAAATGAGAAGGTATGCAAATCAGAGTTTCCTGCCAGCTGTTTTTGACGTTCATCTCCTGAAATAGTATCTGAAGTCTGAATATGTCATTGTTTTCAAATGTGTAAAAGCGAGTAAGACTTTGTCTGCTCAGGGTTTGTGTATGAAATGTCGGAAATCTAGATTAAATCACTTTCTTTTATCTATAACCATCATCATTTATTTGCCTTATTAGCATTACATACAAAAATGTTTACAGCAATAAAAATTTAAGTCGGCTGACTCACAAAAGGTATTAAAAAACAAATAAGTCCTGCAGAAATATGCGGTTTGGCCAATTCAATAATTATTTTGGTAAAAGTTCCTGTATTTTCGTCCTAAAGCTAAGAAGATTTAACGAACAAGTGACTGAAACAGGAAGAGACTTCAAAAATTTTGGTAGAGAATTCTAAATTGCTTGTGTACGACACAAATGCGTTCAGTAATTAATGTTCTTTCTGGAACCGTAGCAGTGAATTTGGCTATTTGTTACAAAAAGATTGAGATTGCATTGGCGATTTTTCATATTTTTTCGTGTATCGTTGTAATATATCCAGGTTAAGGCCTGTAGATATGGCCACACGCTTGTGCAGTTTTAAAAGAGACTTGAATTTAAGACTATTGTTTCTCCTTTAAGTGTTTCCACATGGTGATCAATTCGTCGACGACTTCAACAGACAGCCAACTGTCATCTTCTTCAAAGAAGTGTTCTTCGGTCATCTTTTGGACGGAGAGCCTAAGAGCTTCCTCTGTCAGCTTTGCCACGGGATGAGCGCGCTTATTTCGGACTCTTTTAAGTGACCTCACGGCATCTAAGTGGCAGTACTTCCAATTCAGCTCCCTTTGTAGTGTCGCCCACTCACGGTTTTCTCTGTCTCCCGATTTTTTTAACATATCTTCGATGTCTTTCACCTTTCGTTGCACGTTCGGGTTAAATCTTTGAGGGAATATTATTTTGAACATCATATTTTGTATCTCATCACACATTGTTGCCACGAGCAGAGAGACTTGCACTTCTTCTAGAGTGTCAACTCTTTTCTTGACCAAATCCAATTCACGGCTCTGGAGATTCAACTGCTCTTTCAGTATTTGTATTTCTGTTTCCAGTCCTTTAATTTTCCCCTCTAAAACCTTAATTTCAGCATGATTGAGTGCTTTATCTTCTCTTAGCTTCTTTATCTCATCATTTAGCGCCTTTATTTCCCCCTCCCGCCTTTGGATTTCCACGACTCGTGGAAAAGAACTGTCTGCTGATCGATCACTTAGAAAACTGGCCTGACTCGCTCCCCAATGTTGAGGGTTACTTGAAGTGCTTGAACACATTCTACTTATCCCATGAAATGAACTGAAAATGCGAAATAATTTTTCTAAAATCTTTATCCTCATCAATTATGAATAAATATACTGCAGGTATTGACTCATCTGCATAATTAACACCTTTCAGTTTCAATTCTCGGAAAACGTTCCTGTCCGCGTTTCTTTAAAAATGTAATTGCGTGAACCAATATTTCCGCACTAATATCGTCGATAAATAATTTATTTTTTTTAGTTACCAATCGCTTTACCAAGGTCTTCGTAAATGGAGCTGGAGGTTTCTTTCCACCTAGTAATCTCTCACAAGTTTACCAGATCAAACTGCAGGGTCAGCATGAACACACTAACGAATCATGTTCACCCTAAACTTACGTAAGGGTTATTTTAACTCAACAAACAATGGAGTAGAGTCAAAGGGTATCTGAGGAGTTTTTTTAAATAATTTAACATTTGTTTTTGTATTTCCAGTCTTCCAATTTTCCCCTCTAACGCCTTAATTTTAGCATTATTGCGTTCTTCATTTTCTCAAAGTGTGCTCAGGGAATTTGTTTGGATCATTTAGAGAACTAGACGGAATTTTTTTTTAGTATATTGCTTAACGAACAACCTCTAAAGTTCCCCCATCAAGTTTCCCCCTTTCTAGTTAAACGAGCTAATTAGAGTGTGGGGAAGTCTTCAAAGCCAGGAGAAGGAAATAAAGGAGCTGAAGAATGTGATGGAGATGCTAAGAGAAAACGAAGAACGCAAATGAGAACGTTGCTGAGTTTGTAGTGAATCATGCTGACCTTGCAGTTTGATCTGGTAAACTTGTAAGAGATTTCTAGGTGGAAAGTAATCTCCAGCTCCGGCTAAGAAACCTTATTCTCCTGGGTATTGAGTATCGTGAGCTGCATGAATTAAGCTTTCATTTGAGCTCAAGGTCATCCCATCATTCCGCAATCTCGAGCCCAGGGTCATTTTGGCTCCTTGTCAGCGGTATGGTCGCCAAATGATGACCTCTGGGAGAATCGATGAATTCAATTTTTCGACTGATTGGTATGAAAACAATAGAATCCACACAGGAAGTGTGATTTACGGAAGGGATCGATCGGGCCGAAAGTAAAGCATTAATAACGATAAATTTGAATTGTTTTCACTTGTAAACTGCCGGTCGATATGTGAGAAAACATCCAGCCAAAGCCGCTGCGTGTTACAATGGCGGGAAGCTGTTCATGGAACGATGGAGCGCTGTTGTTGTTGTCAAAGACGTTTAAGTAGGAATAAATCAGGAATTGTAACGGTCGTGCGAGCGTACGGAAATGTAGTAATGTAAAAGGGTTTGACATCAGAATAGCATAGTATTCAGTATCAAAGAAGAAATCGAGAAGCCTAAATTTGTAAGGAAATGGCGAAGAAAAGGGTTCTGTTTTTAAAAAAACAGAAATGAGGTCTATCGCCATCCAGAGCCCTTCGGCTCTTACCTGCTGTAGAAGACACACATAGTATACGTCACAATAGAATTTCATCACATCCGGGAATAAGAAAACAATGAAAACAATAGTACGACGTATACTATGTATTCTACACCAGGTAAGAGCCAGCCCCTCTCAGGCCACGGTTTCACTATCTGGTTTACCGCATGTAAACCACTCAAAAAATCCGTTATACCCACGTCTCGGGTACTCCACAGACACTTCTGATGGAAACACAAAGGTAATCGTTTCATATTTATCAATGAATCTTGCAACACATTCAATTCTCTTTTTCTCTCACCTAATCTTTAACACTAATTTAAACGTCCTTAAGTATGAAGGTTTTATATGATGCTACATTTACAACTGACTTGTGATAATCATTTTTTTTTCACAATTGCAATATACATGTATATCATTCAAAATTCCATGTCAATATATTTTTGTACAATTTACTATGATCAGAAAACATTTGAGTTTAATTCATTCAAAATGACAATATTTACCAATATATGGAGTATATTCAGTTGACAGAACATGCAAATACTGAATTGAAAAAGGATGAAGCATATATGCTATGGATTGCATCGCAGACAAGCCTTCCGGCTGCAAAAGCAAAACTTATTGTGTTGCTACCTACTTGAAGTGTCAAAGTTTGTGCCAAATTTCAGTATCTAGGGGAGATTGATGAACAGTGCAGAAGCCTATGTGTACAGAAACCTGGAACTGCTGGCTTTTATGTCTTACATATAACAAGGAATAGTACCAAGTCTTCCCTTGAAGATTTCAGTTGGAGCAGCTTTACAAAGAAAAGATAGGTTGAGCTCCTGACTTGCTTGATTTCATGGCCACTAAGAGTCTACTGTTGTACAGGAGGATGGAAGTCAAGTGCTCCCCTTGTGTGTGTGATATATGGTTATGTGATGCCTGTCATCCTCGGTATTGAACACTCTAATCATAAGGTGGCTATCATTGAAGTAACTACAAGCAATATTTAAAAAATAAGACTTCACCTAAAATATCATTTTTAATTTGTCTTTCTTTTTAGTGAAGTAACGATATTAATTTTAACGCTGAAACATAACAACAGCAAAATGATATGAATCAAATTTACAAAATTGCAAAATGTGAACCTTCTATATTTGGTTTTTTTTTTCTCTTCATAAAAAACAACCAATGCTTAGCTTGATTTAGCAAACTGAATCATGTAAAACAAAGAAGCTAGAGCAAACTCAAAAGTGGTTGAACGACTAAATAAATTCCAGTCATTCAACCAAAAGTGGTTGAATGACTAAAAATTCACAAAAATCTGACTAGACGGCCCCCTTATGGCCATGAGAGTAAAGGAAATGATCAACCACTGTAAAAACTCTTGATTGTTAAACAAACTCTCAATTCTTCTCAGCACCTTTGAAAATGTATAAAGAACAGCCTGAGTAGGGAGAATTTGGATATTGATGTTAGGGTGCAAAGGGTTAAGAAGCAGAGAGAACAATTTGGTGGGACGTCAATATTTGAAACCCAGCGCAGCTAACCACTTGGAGCCAAGGTCGAAAATAGGCTGCTTTTACTGCCCAATGTTACCTGTTTTTCCAACAATGATCATCTTCAGGTTCAAATTGCCTTCTGTGTCCTCACCGCGAATTGCACCAGTTGACACTAAACCGTGTCTAGAATAATGGCAGCTGAAAGAAATCTGAATTTCTGGAGCCCGTGTTATGATCGCAGTCTCAGAATACACTTGTCGAACCTTATTGCTGTATATTATACTGCTGTCAGTGTGTCTATTAAATGTGCCGCATCCAATCAGAGATGTCGTAAGAACAAAGTGTGTGGCATTTTCTGTTGCTGTGAAGTTAGAGTCCAGCAGGCGGAAGTCCTCTTGGGCAACTGTGGCAAGCAAGGCCTTGGGAAGAGATATCGACATTTCCTTTGGACGACATATCACAACAGCTCCACAGGCTGAAAAAAAGTATGTAAATTAGGAATTATGAGATATTGCTCCTGAAATTTACGAGCTGGGGGATTGCAGCGCCAATAGTAAAGGGGCTGAAAGGCTATTAGAGACAGCAGTAACTCGTAACAGCTAACTTACTGGTGTAATATTTTTTTCAATTTACGCAGACATCAGTACCTGGGGAAAAAATTATGAGGGTTCCAACAGATCTCAAATCGACGAAATTCCGCCCAGGGTCGGCTTAGTGCTTCGCATGTTTTTCTTCACTGATCTATGTGAGGTTCTTGGTTCATGCAGCTAAGTCATTAAAACAGTTTTATTGGCCGGAAAACATTCTCTAGACTTATGAGCAAATTGCATGTCCTTGTGAAGCTGTTGAACATCCTTGAGGTGTGTATAATAGGTTTAAAATTCAAGTGACTTAATTAAAAGGTGAAATGTTTGCAGTGGAAGATGATCTAAAGTTTAAATAGTATTCCTTGTTGATGTAGCATCAGTAAAGGGAATTCTGCATTCTGATCGAATTTGGGTTTCTTTTATAACAGTAACCATCACACAGAACTTGTGTTTAAGTACTCTGCAGTAATTCCTGTAGATCGGATATATCACAAGCAATTTGTTAACGAGGTCAATACCCAATCTCGTATGGTAATTATCAGTTGATTGAACCGTGCATTTGTCTTCAAGATACTCAGCGTCACTGTAAACCTTTTGAAAAGAGTTTTCGATGCCAACAACAACGATGGAGAATAAGGCGAGAACCAGCTGCATTTTAACGACTGAAAGTTTTGATTCACTCAGCAATCGCTATGATTGTCGGAAGGTTCATCTTAAAATAATTCTGGCGCTCATTATGTATGCATGGTAATGTACTGATTGACCAGGGTTACGCATAGTAGTCTTTTACAGTTGTGTGCTTGGTTGCCAAGCCTTTGAGCAGGAGTGAGCAATGACCTTGTTATGATACAATCCTTGTTGCTCTTCAAATGTTAGTTACTTTGTTATCATGCTAACTAGATACTGGTCTCTATCACAACATGGTCACCTTCAGCCTCACTCCAAATTAAAAGTTTGGCGACTAAGTACACAACTGTAAAATGGCCTACTACCTTCTATTTTGCGGAAAGAATGAAATTGACAATAATAAAACAGACTCAAAAAGGGAAAGAAATGACAAACTGGCGACGTAACTGGCGAGAAGGGGACGACTGATTAAAAGTTAGTTCGTGTGACTCTCTTTGATTATTTTCAAATCTTTGCTTCTTGGGCACTGATTGTTGTCCACGTAACACTTCACATACGATAACGCAACTAAAATATGTCACAGCGTAGGTCGTGAAGACATGTCTCAAAAAGTTTCCACCTGGGGGCCTTCAAAGTTTAATTTGTAATCAAAGAGCTGAATCCAAGGAAAATAAAGGTGACGAGAACACAAAAAAATTAATGAAGCGTTCAAAAGTAACAAACAAAATACTTTCTAAGTGTGTCGGTTGTTTTATTCTCTAAAAAATTAGAGAGCATACAAATCAGAAATTCCGCGCCAGTTGTTTCTAAAGTTCATCTCCTGAAATAGTATCTGAAGTTTGAATATGTCATTGTTTTCGCGTAAAAGCGAGTAAGACTTTGTCTGCTCAGGGTTTGTGCATGAAATGTCAGAA